TACTACTACTACTCTACTCTCTCTCTCTCTCTCTCTCTCTCTCTCTCTCTCTCTCTCTCTCTCTCTCTCTCTCTCTCTCTCTCTCTCTCTCTCTCTCTCTCTCTCTCTCTCTCTCTCTATTAGTTCCGTTGAACATTTTCTGAATTTTACAGAGTCGCAGAAACCGAGAGTCCCTCCTCGATCCCCTCACGACACTTTCGCCCTTATCTTGAGTCCGGGGACGCGGACGGAAAAGGACAGGAACAGCGAAGTGGTCGCGTCTCGCCGTCATTGCCGTCCTCGAACTGGGTCGTCGTCGTCGCTTTGAAATTCAAAACAAGACCACGCCGATATGCCGGTGCCGTCTCGGATTTAAAGTCGGACCGCCGTTATCACGCTCGTTAGACTCGGCGAAATTAAATCTCTTTAACGAGTCGGAAATTCACCGTCTAAAAAAAAACGGTGGGAAAGGTGAGACAAAAGAAATATCCGCAGAAGAAGAAGAAGAAAAAGAAGAAGAAGAGAAGTCCCTGGCAGGGAAGAGGGAAAAGAGATTATTAAAGAAGGCGGAGGAAGAAGAGCCGGAAATTCAACGGCGCTCTAACTTGAGAAGAAGGTTTTTCGATGGCCACGACAACGTTAAGGCCGACGACGCCGACTCCGAGATTGGAAATGACGCCCAGCGATTCTTCCGACACCTGAGTCATCCCGATACTTCCGGAGCGGCCGTTTATCGGAACAACGGCCATTCATGGATCCGCGATAATCGCATCGAAGGACGCCTCGAGGCCTTTCTTGAAGGAATTCCAGAGAGAATTCCGAGCTCGTCGCTTGCCTATTTTCTCGAACTGGCTGGTATTCTTTTGGGGAAATAAACGAGAGAGGGAGAGAGAGAGAGAGAGAGAGAAAGGGGGCCAAAAAGCAAAAAGAAAAATCTCGAAGTGGAGAAACTCAGCAGAGATATATATATATACAGCGTAGAAGAATCCGAGGAGCACGAGAGCGTGAAGCCGAGAAGTGATAGTGACAGAAGGGATTGATATTCTCCCGGGACTTATCGGTGCTTTGTCGTCTGTATCCCGGAGGGATGTCCAACGCGGGAAAGTGCGCCCGGTCGGTCGAGCGATTGCGGGACGGTCAAATAGCGAGAGCTCGCGGTTGGCGGTGCGCGGATATCGATGGCGGGGTGTCTGACGTTCTTTTCCCACGGCGCGAATCGGGAGAGCGTCTCGGATCCGTCGTGGATCTTGCCGGGAGCGAGTGAGGTGAGTACAAGGTAGAGCATCCGTCGTCTCGGGCCGGAATCTCAAGGGGACGCCGTCAGGCGTAATCAGGCGATTGATACCGTCGGCACCTCGATTAAAGAGTGTGGATTTGATAATTTCTAACGTGTTTATTAACGGTAAGGAGGACAGAGGTCCGATCGAT